ACATGTAATGTGTTTTAGGCGCTACAATACAAAAAACACCATATAACCAATTTGTTGATATGGGTTTGGGCAAAAAAAAAAAAAAATGATATGTTTTGAACTATTCCAAACTAATATAAGCAGTTCCAATATCATAAAAACAATATTAGAAAAATCAATTTGGATACCAATATCAGAAAAACAATATCATAATGTATGTTAAACATGACGATGATATTGTGTGTTTTGGTACGGGAGGAACTAAAACAAATTTTAAAATTTTTCAAAATAAATTTTCGTTACTAAGATTCGGATTTCTACTCAAAACACTATTATAACAAAACGGTCTAAAATATATTGCATGCCAAACAAGCCCTTAATTGGTGGGATATTTACTTGAGGGAACTGACGGGATTCTAATCAGAGGGGATTCGCTCCGAAAAAGAAAAAAAATTAGTTATTGTAGCTCAATGGTGGAGTTGTGTAAGAATTTATGAATAATATAGAAATAAAAGAATATATTAGCTCTCCTGAAATCTGTATCTGCTTTCTTCATGTAGCCTTACAGAGTTACAGGTTAGTGTTAAACAAAGATTAAACTGCAGTTGAGAGAGCGGTAAATGATTCTATCATTCTTATCCATCTAAGTAATTCAAGAGACCCGGGTAATCAATATCAACCTTCACCTAGTCCATTTATAAAAAGCAAAATATTAATTATTTTTTAAATTTAAAATAGTATAAAAATTGTATATAAATTAAGTAACAAATAAGAGATGTCAATATTAAACATTTCTTTAAACAAATGATGCTTTTCCCACGATTATATTTCAATAATTGTAATAATTTTAGAGAAGGGACCACGTTTCTTCAATTGCATGACAAGGTCCATAAACTCATTAAAACTGTGATAAATGAGCATGAGTTGATTGTTAATCCTAGTGCACTTGCTACAGCTTTGGAGTGTTATCATAAGCTTCCCTAGGTGGTAGATGAGAGGCATAGTTGTCCCAATTATAAGCCTTTTCCTAGGGTACCAATTGCAAAGAATTTGATTCAAGAGTTGTGTGATGGTAGGTTTGCCAAGAGAAAGCGCAGTAGTACTACCAAAGCTAAGATTCCAAAGAGGGTATGGAAATTATTGAAGAAGCCATTCCTTCCATTACTTCCATTCCTTCCGAAGATCCTCTTAAGGCATGCCTCTCTCACTTCAATATGGACGCATTTGATATTGAAAGCTCCATATATGAAGTGAATTCTCTAATGGACTCTGTTGCTATCTTAGACTTCCCGCCATGGAAAAACTCAAAAGAAACTCTTCCTCCAATCGCAAGTACTTTTTCTTATCAAGAAGAGGAAGAAGTGGAAAATCCGTCAATGGCCAATCCAATTTATGAGGACATTCCTTGTAATATTGAGTATGAAGTCATTGAGGTGACCTTAGTGAATGAAGAGAAAGTGATCAATGTGGCAGTTGACAAAAAGGATGAAGAGACTGAGTTTCCTAGTAATCCAACCGAGTCTTTGAAAGATATTACCTTGCTAAGTTCAAGGCCTCTCATTATGGATTTTATTTTCAAGACTATGGATAAAAGAAACCAAATTGCATCTTCCATCATTTCTTTCCAAATCATTCTTTTGGAAGATGCATATGTTGTTGTGAGAGAAGATCCACTGGGGAAAATAGATAAACGGATTAATGAGGATGCCTCATATCCGATTTTTGATTCTTTCAACTAATAAGTCGACCCATCGTCTTGCCAGCGATGTTAAACACTGGTTTTTCGTAGAGTTTCCCGACTCTACTCCTCCCTTATTTCTCTTTATTTTATTTCTTGCGTCGTCATCTAAATAAAATTTTATTTTATTTTCTTCTTTTATTTTATTTTATTTATTGTACAATTCTGCTTTCATAAATTCAAAATAAATAAAAAATAAAAAAATTCTCAAGTAGCATTCCGTCTTGCTAGAGACGTTAAAATTAACCATTTAAATTTTTGATTTTGTAGGTTGTATATACTGTTTCTTTTTCTTTGATTATTTTAAAAAAAAAATTTCAAAAATATGTTTCACCATTATGCCCTTCTGCATAGTTATGCATGATCTCATATCTCTTTATATCTTGTTCTATATTGTTTTGGAATGTATGCTTTGCTTATCCCTTTTGATATTTGATGTGAGTTGCTAGTGTGGTCTTTCCAGTAGGTTTGCATCCAAGTTTGGGGGAGACCTCTTTCATAATGGATCATCGCCGAGCGTCATAAACTTTTGCCATCATGGTATACTCTTTCCATTCCTTTCATTGGAGTCATTGCACATTGAGGACAATGTGCAGTTTAAGTTTGGGGGTAAAGTAGTCTTGTTACATTCTACTTTAAGTTGAGCTTTAAATGCATGATTGAGATTTGAGATATATTTCGCAATGATTTTGAATTTTTGAAGCATAGTGCCTTTGAAAAACAAGTTGTTAGCGTTCAATACTTCTTGTATGCTCTAGGATGCCATTTAGGGGTGAATTTTTAATTTTTGATATCATGTTTGCTCTTGTGGTACACATCATCTTGTTTGTTGAAAATGTTTTGAGAGTTGCTTCTAGAACTCTACACTTGCACTTGCGCACACTAGCATTCAATTTGTGGGGTACATGCTTAGCTGATTATTATCTTGGTTTATCCCAATTGAGCTAGTATGCTTTAAAAGCTTTCATTCTTAATAAAATGACCTTGCAAAGAAAAGAAATAAAAGCACTCACCAAAGGTGAGGAACAAAAAAAAAAAAAAAAAAAAAATTGCATTCTTTCAACATGTCAACTGATTAAAAAGGAAGACAAGGGAAGAATGTAAGATGTATGATTATTTTAAGGTCGTAGCCTAGCCATTCTGAGTCATTACGCCCTTAGGAGTGTCTTTACACTTAACGCCCTAAGACCATCTGGTTTGGGAGTTGTTGGCTCAACGCTTGTTACATGGGGTGATTAGAAAGCTTAAGGAACTTGGACATTGCACATGGTCATACATATATAAAAAAAAAATGAAATCAATAAAATAAAAAATAAAAAAGAATATTTGATTGAATAACAAGGTTCATTCAATGTCTAGAGGATTGGTACTATATCTGTATGCTAGTTTGAGGGTAAGGCTATTCCATTACTTTGATTTGCTAGAATAGCAACACATTTTGATGCCGGTTCACTCAACAAGAATGATAGAATTGATTCAATTTGCATGATTAATTTCTTGATGTGTGGAGAATCATTCTTCCTTATATGATACTGAAATGTTGAGAATAGCTTGGAAATGGCAGAAATTTGCATACTTGAAGTAGTCTACTTTCAACACTTGTTTGATATGTGTTGTTGCTTCTCAAGTAAGAAAGAGTTGTTGATGTTTGTAGGTACCATTTCTGAAACCCTCACGAGACTTCACTCGTCCACTAGGGGTAACCTAAGGGTTTAAAAGGCTTGTTGTATATGCTAAATGCAACTATGATCCCTACGAAAGTGGTGTTATCTTTATTTGCTTTATTAGTTCATAGTTGTACGTATGTTGTTTCATTTTCATACTGTAGTTCATTGCTAGGGACTAGCAATATCTAAGTTTGGGGGCTTGAGAAATGCTTAAATGTTGCACATTTCAGCACCTAAACTAGGGTATTTCAGTACTTGCATCTATCTTACTTTCATATTTTAGTCCTAATTTATGTTTATGTGTATTTTAGGGCAATAAAGCTAAAATGAGCTAAGAACAGTCCACTACAGCCTTTTGGAGTCATGCCAAAGCATCGGGACAACATTCAAAAGGAAGCAAATATGCAGCAGTGCATCACATCCGGACGCCATTCCTTGCGTCCGAATGCGAGTATCCAATATAGCTGCGTCCGGATGCCATTCCTCGCGTCCGGACACGAGTTTTCAATAAAGTGGCGTCCGGACTCCAAAAGCTACGTCCAGACGCCAAGCTTCCTCACAGGAGATTAGTTACGGGTTTGACCTATTTTGATGGCTACGGGCTTTGGTCTGTTGGGCTTATTTTTGTAACCTATTGGCTCTAATAGGGTTTGTATTAAAGGGGAAACAAGGACCCATTAGAGAGAATGATTATTATTTTGTTAAAATTAGTTTTTAATTAGTTTATGATATTAGGTTCTCTTTGGGGAAAAGGAGAAAGCGAGGGTTTCAAGAATATTTTTACAGCTTCTCCATCTACAATTGAAAGAAGAAGAAAAATGAGCCAAAATATGGAGATGGAGCTTGTTGACACCATGATCCTCTCCTCCATGAGCTAGTTCTTCACTTAGGGCTTGGATGTGCCCTAAGTTCATGTAACCTAAACCTTTGTATTTCTTTTCTTGGGGAATTAATATGTTGTAATTAATTGTATGGCCGTGTGATTTCTTTGTATATACATGCTTGATTTGATAAATTAAGGATTGTATTGATGAATTCTTCCATTGAAATCTCCAGTTGATTATATGTCTATGTATGATTAATTAGGGATTTTACTCTTCATTAAATGATTAGAATTAATTCTTTCATTAATTCTGTAAGTAAATTACATGTCTATGTATGATTACTTTAGAATTATATTCTACACTAGATATTACTTGTAGTTGTGTTTAGTGATGGCCATAGTATAATATTTATTTGATACAATTGTCAATTAATTTGATTGATAAAAGCTTAATCTTGATGAGTTGTTCTACAAATTAGAATTATTGTCTACTTGATTAGGTTAATCCATACTTCTAATTACAATTAGTATTATCCTCTTGATTGATGTGTGCTCTTATTTGATGCATGTGTGAATGTGTATGGTGGGTTATGACGTAGTCTTAAATGGGTTCTACACTTAGTTTAATTGTCATTAGGTAGAAAATTCATTCTTGATATTGATAATCTATGCTTACAATTATGATTTGTGATGATAATGTGACCACATCTATGATTACACTAATGATTTCCCCATTAATTGAAAGCATATGGTTAATTGCATGAGCTTAGTGGTGAATCTTAATTCTAAAACTCTTCGTATCTCTTTAATCCTTAGTTTAATTTACTTGCATTGCAATTTATTTAATCACTTCATCAAACTCTTTTTCTCTCAAACTCTCTTTTTCTCTCTCTCTCTTTTACAATCTAATTAACTTTAAAACCAAGTTTAACCCCAACACGTGTTCAATCCCTTAGGAACGATCCCTTCTCACTTCATACTTGATGGTATAAGTGTTAAGTGGCTTTTATATAAATTTAAAGTATGATGCCCATTTGATACCATTTCCAAAACCAAAGTGTTATGCATTATTTTGTGCGCATGCTCGGGTCACATCAATCACCGGAATAACATTCCGCACCTGCGAATACTGGAATCACCGGAATAACATTCTGCACCTGCAACAAATGAATGCCCTTCCGTATCCCATAGATAGCATCTACCTATCAAATAATATATAAACATGTCATGAATGACTTACTACGTACCTAATGCACTCAACGTAATAGAAATGTCCAAACTACTCAAATAAACACCTAATCAAATACCTTAAAAGTATATAAGTACATATGTACACAATTATCCACAATGATATCACCAATAATACTAGCACGACAAAAACTACAACATACGAGAAATGCATTATTTCTATCATCACATAAACTACCACATAATCACATATCCTAAACATGTCTTTAAGGCATGCTCAAAACGATAAGGCATATAAACATGTAAGGGTGACTATATATAATGATGCTATAAAATCACAAGTAAAATGGAATGCCTTTCAAAAGGACTATCTCACAGAAAGCGTAACCCATAACATGGATGAGTCCAATCTCTCGCTACAAAGAAATGAATCATCTCCCAAAACAACAATGTAATGGATAGTTCCAACACTAACCATCACAAGATATCCATATGAAAGACATATCTCAAGATGCCAATGAGTCCGATGGGGACTCTACAGGATTCTATTGGAACCCTAACACACAACCCTAAGTCTCCAATGACAAGGGAGAGTAATTAATTACACCAATACAATTAATCACACAAAACTGCACATCCCAACCGTAGCTCATAAGAGATGTCCAAAGCAAACTCAAAAAGAATCTTAATTCAACACACCTATTAAGTCCTTAAACCATCATTCCAAGAAGACAAAACATGAGAACCTCGCAGTTGAGGCTCACAAAAACAAATTTCTCATTCCCAAGGAAGAACTCAAGTTAATCCTGACTCACTATCTCATGACACTAGAAACAAAACCCCAAGGGATATCACCACATCAAGGTTACCACAAGGCCTCAAGAGATTATACCAACACCCCAAACACAACCACGACCACGTCATGAAGCAACAAAAGAAAATAAGATGAAACGGTGCCTCCATGGCCCATGTCTCATCCTGCCAAACAAAGACTACAACCTTACGCTCACACGACTTCATTCACATAAACTATCAACCCAAAATATCAAAACTCCCAAACCGTCAAAACAGACAAGAAGGCTCCCACCGTGGAAACCTTACAAAATAAATCCCCCCTTATACAAGGAAGAAACCCTAGATGACAAAGACGTGTCTAATGATATTACGGACCCCAAGAGACAATGCCCTAGTGTTAATCTCAACTAACTGAACATGAACAATGCACAAGGTCAAAAGAAGATATGAAGTAAACATGAAGCCACTAAGATCATACGTATCACATAAAAAGATTTCAAAATAAAACACTTTACTAAACTACATCTGATGTTGTCACTACAATCAGGTTAAGCACGTAGAATACATTTATTTATACATATAAGCACCCTAAATATTCAACTTACAACATGGCAACAGGACCATATACTTATACAAGTAGTAAATAATCCACATACAAAATGTTCTGTTACATAGCAAGTAGATATAAATCAAAACAAACAACGCAAGTAGTAACTAGTATGCTCATCACAAGGCACAAGGCCAACATAATCATTTAACACTCAATCATGCTCAACAATTAGCATACATCATAAGGCATAAAACACATAGCGTGCAACTGTTAAAGCTACCAAACAACATACTTGTACAAATAACAACTTAATGTCCTAAGTGCTTTATCAGAAGGTATTTTATCAAGCTGAACATGCTTATACTTATCACATGGCATATACGTAAACATAATAACTAGCATGCTCCAAAAAAAATATGTGCACTTAATAATGCATGAAACTCAAAATGAGAAGCTCCATGCCTCTCAAACATGCTATTAACCGTCTAAGTCCAAGACACGATGAGTGACAAGGAATGATGATCAATCACCTCCTAACACTCGTGATAACATGCAACTCATCTTATGAATGCATAAACGAAATATGGAAATACGCACAAGGACACCTAGATCATACAATATCACATAATCAATGCTTTAAACACATAAGCATTCCAATCATGATAATTCAAATAGTAAAAGCACCAAACAATTTAGTACATAAGCATACATGTCATACGAAAGATGCCTCTAAACACTTAAGCATATAAGCACGTAAACATCTTAATACATCAAAGTATGTCAACAAGAAGTATGAAATGAACCCAAACCCCGTCGTCCTAAGATATTCGGACCGGGACACTTTGATACCACTTGTGACTACCCGAATTTCAAAGAACCCGGTGCGTCAGCGAGTAACCCAAAAACTGACCAGATGCTGAGTCCGAAACACGGAAACAACAGAAGAGAAAAGGTCTCTAAAGATGGACACCACCTTTAAGATGGCAAAGTGACCTTCTAAGAGATAGCGAGACTAAAAAAGAAAAAAATGCGGAAGCTAGAGTTTAAAACGGTCAAAGATGCCACTAGAGGTAAAATGGTCATTTCAAATAGAAATAGATGCTACCGTGCATACTATTGGATAGACAACGAAAAATTAATAAATTTTCACAAAAATCACTTGATTTGGATTTAGAACAAAGAAGATATGAATTTCCGAAATTTTACAAAAAAATTTCCAAAATATGGCCAGTACGATCGATTTGGCTGTAAGTAGTCAGTTTTTGAAAACTCGTGATTTTCAAGGCTAAAACGGAGTTTTTTGGAAAATGTTTGTTAAAAAACACCCCCTAAAAATGAGTCATTTGATTAACCATGGTCCAAACCAAGAATAAAAAGTAACGTAAAATGACCAAAATGCCCTCGAGTGCAAGGTATGTCAAGAAGATAAAACATTTGGCTGCGAGCAGTCATTTTTTGAAAACGGTTGATTTTCAGGGATAAAATGGGACTTTTTGGAAAAACTTAGTGAAGAAACCCCCATTAAACATGAGTTCTCTGATCAACCATGGTCCAAAACAAAAATAAAATGTAACGTAAAATGACTAAAATGCTCCCAAGATTAAACTACGTCAAAGAGATAAAAACATGTTAAAAAATGTCATACATTCCATACATAAAAAGTGTTTGGCACTTGACCTCATTACATATAAGTTAAAGTTGCATCAAAATGGAGTACTTAAGTTCATATTACACATCCAAAAGGAAGCAAGGCATACTTCTAAACAAGTTATACATTAACAACTTTAAAAGAGCAATATCATGCTAACACTTGCATGTCAAAAATATACAACAGGTATCCAAATGAAACTTAAGCCAAGCTAGGGATGTTATGCATCCAAAAAGAGTGTCTCCTTGCCTGAAAAACAAATATCAACTAGGGTGAGTAATCAAGTTACTCCTCAGGATAATACGTATGCGTATAACCTAAAGTTTTAACGATTTTGCAAGTATAATATAAATGGATATATATGGATCATGCCCCCTAACATCTAAGTTCGATGTCAAGCTAATGGATCATCCTAAAGCTAACTTTGAAACTTTTTAAACACAATCCACAATATGCAAAGATCTTAAAAACTATTGGTACCTCCAATGTCAACAAGAAGTTATAAATTCAAAGTAATATCAACTTGAAATGAAATGTGAAATAAAACAATAGAGAAATACTTGGACATCATGCCGGTTATCAACCTAATGCAAATTAGCTATTTTGGGTTACTAACCCGCCAATAACTACCCAAGTGTGCACTGTTTTAGGGAGAACTCGTATCTCCTGCACAAGAGCCGTACTCTAGCCATGTCATACTACGACGCCCCAAGTTTCCAAAATAAACTAATTATACACAATGTATAATAAGTATACAATGCACTTAACTACCTTTCATGAACAACCAAGTTGGAAACCACAAAAATCATGCCGTAAGTCTTCAACTACAATGGCATTTACTATAACAAGTTGACAAAGTGAATCAAATTAAGCTACTACAATGATGTCCACATCTGAAATCCATTCATAAAAATATATAATGAGTTTCAAATCCATGATTTAAACAACAACATAGTATCAAATACAAAATTAAATCATTGGCAAAATTTATATAGAATTTCTATAGCTACACAAAATAAAATCTCTAGATTTTAAATCACCACCAAATGAAATAATACTAATACAAGGTAAAGATCATACACAGACCTTAAACAATATAAATCTTTAAGTTAATTTCATGCAATATACATCTATATACAACCCTAGAATTCGAAAAACATGCATACAACGTATATTAATCTTAAGAACACATTAAAATACGAAGGGTATAAACATAAATCATCCCCAACCTCATTAGAGAAATGTATCTCTAGAAACCTGTGGAAGCAAAATGTGAAACCGAGCAAAGGTGTGGTAGAGATGAATGTGAGGAAGCTTTTGTCTTCCAAGTGCAAGACCCAAAGGTGAGGGGAAGAGGCTTGAAACCAAGCTCTCAAGTCTAGGGTTTCAAGTCTCTAATGGTGGCCTTAGGTGAGAGGTTGGAGAAGACAAAGTAAATCACTAACTTTCCCACTAACTAAACACATTGCTAGTCAAATATACTATACTAACACTACCTCTCTCACACACACATCCACCCCCCACTTATCACCATCCTAGGCCTTCTCACAAGGCTAAATCTAAGCCTTACACTTGTCAAAATCCTAAACTAACAAGTGTTCCAATGAAAAGTCAACAAATGAACCAATGACTTATCACACTTTCTCAAAATTGTGAGTTAGGCCCTCTTCTAAATATCTCAAAGAATAATTGCAAAAAGTTCCATAAGACAAAATATCTCAAAAAATTAATTACGCATAAATTAAACCCGAAAAACGAAAATGTTTCCGAAGAAACTATGCATCCATATCCCCATAATTTAAAATTAAACGAGCATACTTTTCTATGAAATTAAATCATGCATTGACAGTAAAAAAAATAAAGAAAATGCGTGCGATGCCGGAAACCGATTCCGAACACCAAACCCTACCTCGGGTTCTATAAAACCCTAAGGTAACGCGAAAAGGAATAAACAAATAAATAAATAAATAAATAATTAATAATAAAATAATGCAAAAAAAAAAAGGAAAAGAGATGACGCG